ATAAAATTTTCCATGCACAGACATTTTCAGTAGTTGTTGTTGTCGCTTGCCTCCCCTATTCCGCTCCGGGTGGCGAGAAAGCAGGCAGCAATACCACATTGGCTTGGGGTTAAAAAAAAAAAATAAAAATCTGTGCACTTGCTGCAGTACTGAATTAGCTGGCAAAGGTACAATTTGGTGGATGCTTTCATCCAAAGTGACTTAAGGTACCATGAGTTCATACAATTTCAGCATGGATGGCTCTGCTGAGAATTGAATCTCGACATCTTGCGATGTTAGTGCCATGCTAAAATGAGCTATAAAGAACTACCAGTCTTTCTTCAGTGCCAGTATTATTACCAAGGTTTATGTGTTTTTTTCATGTGGTCTAAAAACACAGCTGACAAAAACAGAAAACATATATGCAATTTCAGGAGCCCTTTGTGTTTTACATGTCTTTTGTGGATTTCTATTCCAGTAATCTGGCTACATGCAGCTTGATTTAAAGCTGCACAAATCATTTTTTTTTCAGTAACAATGGATCAAATGACTATGTGTAATATGAGAGGGGCAAGCTCATAGTGACGAACCCACAGACAGTTAACACCTGACTCTGCAATCCCCTCAGCTCTGTGGGGCTTTACAGCATCTTTCAGCTCATTTGTTTTGGTTTTAACAGCCTGCAGCTTTAATATTGCAGTTCAGTCACAACTTTCATCAACACCATTTCCAAAAGCAGCAGGGCAGCTATTCCCAGTGAATAAGCTGAAATGAACCCACTGTTATCTCTCAACCAGTGTAGTGTACATGCCCTACAGGTGAACAGAGTGACACATTTAGTGGCTAAAGAGCCAGATGTCCCCTAAGGAGTTGGTGAAGACCAAACTGGAGCTTAAACAGAGAGTGAGTATTGGACCTTTTCTGGTTGGGCGGCAAGAAACTATTTGACTGTTTGCCAAAACGACTGTATACAATAAGGTTGTATAAGTTAAGTTGTCAATGTTGTGATTACAGATTGTCAGACAGATGTCCCCAAGTGGCCAAAAACATAAACTAATACTGCTTTTAGTCTCAAAAACATCTGACTATGCCAACCAGCTAACTATGGACAACAAATGTAGATGATGACATAACACACTGCCTCTCGAAACTCCCAAACCTTTTAAACTCATTGTTGGACTCTAACTCTAACTGAAAGCCTGCTTGTATGTTTTGTGTATTTCCATCAAACAGAGCAGGGGCATGACTGACAGAGGGGTTTCAGTCCCACACTGAGCTTTGTGGCTATCTGGGGTGACGGCAGCAGACAGCTCAACTGACAGATTCCTTGTTTGTCTTTGAGGCTTCTGTTGTGTAATCTACTGGATCTAATGACTCCTGTTTAGTAACCTGAAGTTTCTCTTCCATGGTTTGGCATGGTAATTTAGACAAGATATATATATGACAAGTGAGCAGACCTTCTGCTGTGAATATAGACCTTCAGACTAAGTGTTTTTCCTCCCACCATCTTGAAACTTGCAAAAGGAGTTCTCCATTCAGGACAATTCCTAAATCTGGAAAAGTGACTCCTTCGTCACTCACTGCAGTGCAGTTAAAATTAGGATGAACAGAATAATATTCAGGGTTTCAAATCTAATTTTTTTTGTCTCTACAGTTAGCTTTTTATAAAGATAAGAGCTTACTTTATTGGTGAATTCCTGAGTGTATTGACATTTGTTTACAAGAACAGCTTGAGGAATCACAATGAGCCCATCCCATCAAACTTCAGGTCACAAAGCTAGTCCATGGGAGAAAACACTCCCCTTTACATGAATATAAACACACTACACAGGAATTTATTAGACCATATTTTTAGGATGTTTTCATTATTAATACATTAGCTTTCATCTTCATCACTATTTTAAATCTCCTCAGTAGAGCCATGGTATATTCCCTAAGTTGACCTCTAATGCTCATCTTTCATGCAGCACACAGACGATATCTTTTTATCTTAACACTGCAATAATATAACCTTTTAGTTATTTCATTGCTGTAATACTATTAACATCAGTAGCCTCCCTGATGGGAAAATTTGAATCTCTTCCTATGATTTCTTGACTAATGAAACACATACAGTATGAAAGCAAAAACCATACCACAACCCTGAGCACTGAAAAATAGTGAATGTTCATACTGTTATAGTATCAAAGGGGTATAACTACTTGTATGTTTCTTTTGTATTCATTGAAACCAGTATCTTAGTTTTTTATATATATATATATATATATATATATATATTTATTAATTTCTATTTACAATTATTGTAAAATATATTTACTGTCTCACTGTATCAAACCTTTTCAATTTGTCGGCTGTTATCCTCGTCAGTATTCTTGAGTGACAGGTTGGATTATAAATAGACACAATTTATAAAGCTAGTTTGCTTTGTCTTTAATGAATCCCATTTAGAGGACTATGAGCCAACTTATCTCAAACAAATAATAGCCTATTAAGCTGACCTTTGGAATGAGTTTTAATAAGTAAGTAAGGATGAGTCATACTTAATTGAATAATAACTAAATCTGTATATGTGCAAATGGATATGACTAAACCCCAGGATATCATTGTTAAAGATTGCTATTATCATAAAATCATTGCTGGTGTATTTTGAAGAGTCATCAGCAATTCATTGTATTAGTTTCCTGACTACATGACTGAGTTCTTCCTCTTCTTCGTCTTCTTCTTTTTCTTATTCTTCCTCCTCTTCTTCTTCTTCTTCTTCCTCTTCTTCTTCATATATTGCTTCTTCTTTGCCTTCTTCTTTGCATTTTTTGGCAGATTGCAATCTTTATGTAGTATGTAGAACAGGACTAGATACAGTTTACATTAGTCTACAATACAGAAATATAATACTATATATATATATATCATTTGTCTGATGCTAACTAAGAATTTTATTACCCTTCTTTGGGTTTCCCACACCTTATCTCCATCCATCCTTGTATCCCTTCCTGAGATGGACCTTTCATCTGCCATAAAAGAGTATGCATTGTGATCTACAAGTCTTCAAAAGAGGCCAAGGCAATTGTCTTGTTTGAATTTTTGCTCATCTACAATGAAACAAGCACCACTTTCTGTCCAACGTAGGGCATAGGAAAAATGCCAAGTGGGCTCTCATAAACTCTTGACTCCAGAGACAAGAAAAACAGCCAAATGTCTTCTCTTTATCAAATACCAATGCCAAACGCAAACTGATGTCTCACACTGAACCAACTGACAGGTTGGCAAGCCTTTTCAAATTGGTGCCCAGTGTGGAGAGAGGTTTGTTTAGCAGTTTTTTTGTCAAATTAACTTTGAACACAAATCTGAAATGTTATTTGCAGTTATATCCAGAATGTAACATTGTGAGTTAGAGCAATAAATTATGGCAACATTAGAGTAAAAGACTTGATTATAGACTGCAGAGTCTGTACTTGAAAAGAGCAAGACAGAGAACAATAATACCATTTGGGTGGCATGTCCAAGTATATTTACTGCCACAGTTAATTTTTGATCTAGATTTATTCGGGGTGCTTTGATGCAGTACGGCACTACAGCACACTACATCTCACTGATGTGGAATAGTTTAAATAAACAAAGACTTAATGCTGCCCAACACTGAAACCCTGTTAGTGGACTACAGCAACAATCATTCATTCTGTCACTGAATGAGGTTGGTACAAGAGCCTACACTCCCTCATGAAAACAAAACCTGAATACAGCAGAAAATAAAACATAGCCTACACAGCATGTAGAGGACATTTTAATTAGTGGTGTTTCATATTTGCCTCAATAACTAATGGCAATCAGATGGGAATATCTTATGTTGCAGTAGTAAGTTATCCAACCCCGGCCTAATGAGCTTATTGTTAATAAAAGATTTATGTGCTTGAATAAAGACGCCTCAGCTCATGAAATGAAATGTAAATTAGATATGGCCAATGTTAGCCTACAGTATATGTTAAAATGAGCCCTAAAAGTCCATCTGTGTTTGGATAAAGTTGAAGAATAAATTAAAGAAAGAAAAAAAGAACACAAACACTCACACCCATCCCCCATCAACACTCGGCCTGACCAACAAACAGAGCAGTGAGCTGCCAACCTGTGGGAAGCTGTGCACTGAATGCCACTGAATACCAATACAAGCAAGATTAAGCATGAGATATATCATAATATCATGACCACAATACTGGGCCACAACAGAGTAATGCTGTTCTTGCTACCTCAAAGAACCCCATGTTCTCTTTGTGTATTGATTAGCTGGGTCTCTAGCTCTTTTATTCTCTACATCACACTGCTGACTTTTTTTTATTTGTTAGAATTATTAAATCATTCAGGCCCAGAGCTTTGAGGGAAATCGTGGCTCAGTCATGCTATAGTTAGTTTTTTTTTTTTTTTGCTTGCTTCTAGAAAATGGTGGGATAATGATAGATCATAAATTTGTGTGCTTAATGGAGCTTAATGAGCGTGTATTATGTATAAATGTAAATGTATGTATGTATGTGTAAATGTATTAATAACGACACTGTTATCCACTGGCAACTGATACAAAACCTCACCCAGTTAACGCTTTTTGTGCTGTCTGAAGTCAATGATATCACTCATGTTTACTCTACGTGACTTCTAGATGATTACTCAGTCTCTTGCATTTGCAGTAAGCCATTGGAGATGATGTTTCATAGGTCAACCAATCCCCACAGACCTGTTTGATAAGAATGGAAGACACCTTAGGGGATGGAGAACACCTGCATGTTTTGCTAATGAGGCCTTGCAGGAGATTCGCTCATTGCAAACAACTGTATATGCAGATCAATTACACACAAAGTAAGACTAAAACAAACATATTGCTTTAGCCACCTAGAGGAAGGGAATGCATTGCTTTAGTGCTGATGGTAATTACACTAGGGTACTTGAATTTGTAAATTCAGTCCATGTTGTCTGAAAAGGCTACAAAGGACATGTTGTACCGACTGTACGGTCTAAAGGGAATCCAGATGTCTTACCTTCACTGCAGTCCTTTCCTTGGAAGCCCGTCTGAGAGCAGTCACATGTTGGTTCGTTGTTAATTAAACTGCAGACTCCTCCATTTAAGCACATGTTGGCTGTACCACAGAGGTCCTTTAAGACCCCTTCACTGTTGATCATTACAGACTCCGTGTTGTTGACCTTTATGTCTGTTATCCATCCAGTGAAAGGCAGCTGATCCTTGACCACAGCCGATGTCAGTCGTAACGCCACAGATCGTAATTCCGGTGGTATTCCACCAACAAACAAATGGCTGAAAACAGTCATATCCCGTCTTTTGGACTTCACCTCCACCCACTTTATCTCATTGTCCACCATTAGGGTTGTGTTCTTAAAGTTTCTCCTTATTGTGACTGCGTGCCATTGGCTGTCGTTGACCGCCGTGTCAGATATGACGGTTGCAGGCTCGGCACAGAAGATCGAGAAGCGAAGGCTGAGTTTACCATTCAATATGAGAAGTTCTAAAAAGTCACAAAATCCCTCATCGTCGAAGTAAACTAGCAGCCCGTGGGAACTCTTCGTTTTCATATTGAAGCTCATTTCACTTTCGCAACATGCATTCCACACTGGAAATCTGGCCCACTGTCCCTCAGCACCTGTGAACTCAAGACAAGTGCCTATTTCTACAAAGCAACAAATGAGCAGCCCAACCCATATGATATGGGCACCATGTGGCTTTTGTAAAACCATTGTGTGATCACGAATTCTGTGGAGGTGGATAGGGGCTGAATTTACTTATAAGAACCTTTGCTTAAGCAGGAAATATGCTGGGTTGACTGTGAGAGAGTAGACTGGCATATAACTGATTGTCTACATGGATTTACAAGTGTGAACAGCTGCATTTTAAGACAAAAGATTAAATGCTCTCATATTTTTGCATAGCAATAGGCTTGGCCAACACTTACTTCCTGGAGCAAATACCATTACCTCACAATGTCCAGGCCAGTGGCCAAACCTCTCACTGTCCGCGCCAAAATAGTTTGAACTGTTTAAAGGTCCTCTCTGCCATGGCTATTTAAAGCAAAGCGACAAGGATTCAAATATCCATTGGGCACACTTGGTCTAATTTATGTAATTATGAAACAGTCCCTTCTGGTGCCAGTTAGAGTGTACACGGTTTCACTTGAGTTGAAATGGCAGCTTTAATCTTCATGTTCATGCCAGCATTCTTTGGCGGGTAACTGGAAGCCTTGCTCTGGGCTTTTCACCCTGCATCTTCTGTAGCAATGAGAAAAAATGCCATATGGAGCCACGCTGGCGATAAGCTCAGCAAAAGAAGCAGTCTGTCTGTCAAGCCAGTCCTCAGTTCCAAAGCTCCCTGCAAAAGAAAAGCAAATTCAATACAGTATCAGCATTTTTCACCATATCCATTTCCAAATCCACTTTGGCAAGAGCCCTCATCAGGAGTCAGAGTTGATACTATGGTTAAGGCAGAAACGCCAATCAAGAGACTTGTATCCAGAGAGGCCTTTGTTACAACAAACACGAGCCGTATCATTAGATTAATATCAGCAGGGCTTTCCAGGAAGCACACAGCAGCTGTGGACAGTCAGTATCACTGGATCCACGCATTACTTCATCTCAGTGGCATAGGCTACAGAGGACTGAGTCGGAAAACATTGTTTTCACATGCAGTCCTTCGAACATTTACAAAAACCAAACGTGCACATATTCATGCAACACAAGAAAAAAAGAACGATCTGTGAATTAGAATTTTTGATCTTTGCATCATTCATGGCAGATGATCAGACGGTCGCGCATCTGAAATCAATTCCTGCAGACAATGTCAGTCACACCAAAGTATAAAAAAAAAGAAAGAAAAAAAGGAGAAACGACTGATTTACAGTTCTCCTTTCTTTTAAGGAACATTACTTTTTGCTGTTTTCCACTTCCACCATTATCAGCGGCATTCCGATACAGTAGCCTATTCACTGGCATGTCCTCTATTGAAGACCTAACATGGGGAAAAAGTGCGTCATTTGATTCACAGTGGTTGGTTTGTGTAAGACGAACCGGTCGGGCTGTCACTGGGTCTCAGTCAGACCCCAGAACCTGCTCCTCATACAGTCTTAACATTTGCCTCGTCACTATTTTCCACTCGGACTGTGAGACAGATAATGGATTTCCTCCATAAAAAAATTAAAAACATCGAAATGTTATTGAAATGAAAACAAGACGGGTTCAAAATCTCCGCAATTAGTTTGCATTTCAAAGAAGAGAAAATGTAACAGCTGCCCGGGATTGGAGCTCGGCTTTACTTATAGGCACCGCACTTTACACGGACTGAAACATCTCCAGCAAGACATTTTAATGATCATCATGCTCTATCCGAGATATGGGATCGGGATCACCCTCACCGGAATTCTGCGTTTTCATATGGTTTCCCAAAACGGGACAGCATCCCTGTTTTCGCCATCCCCTCATCAATAATATGCCCCATACCTTAACATCTTACCCTGGATGACAGCTGGAAAGGGCGCACTATAATTAGGGTGTTTCTTTGATGCCCATATCTGCGGCAATTTTTTTTCAAAGCTCACAACTATTAAATCCCCTGCTGAAACAAAGATAAGGCGTTATCATTATTATTATTATTACCTTTGCGTGCGCACCTTCACTTCTACGGGACCCTAAATAGTTGGCACAAGAGAGAGACAGAGAGAGAGAGGTGGAAAAAAAAAATGCATGCAAAGCACCGCGGGTAGAGCTCCTGTAAAACCACGAACCGTCCGTATATGTTTTCGGTCTGTTTCAGAGCCTGTAGCTACATCTCAAATCCTCTCTGGCGAAACCTTCACATCTAGATCTGCTTTCAAGTGAATCACAGCATCAGCGAGCGAGAGAGAGAGAGAGGCAGAGAGAGAGGCAGAGGCAGAGGGAGAGAGAGAGAGAGAGAGACACGGTTCGACTTTTAGTCTAATTCCTCTTCTTTTTTTTTTTAAGAAAAAAGGAACCCTTTCTGGTTTAATGGTAAAAACATTTCTTTTTACCTTAAATGTTTGGTCTTCCAAGTTTGTTTCCTGACGAAAAAAAAAACCCAACAAGACACAACTAAAGTAAAGATGAAACCGCTGGATGGAGCACGCGGGGAGCGCGGGGCGAAAATCCAGTTATCTTTGTGGAAGAGAAGGTGCAATCTGGTTTCCCTGTTGAGCTTATCCAGCGACTGTCAGGAGCCACAGACAGAGCACATCACGTGTCTCTCCGTGATGTCTACCGGGGAGGGGCTGAATGCAGTACCTTGGACAGCGCCTCTGCCTCCGTGAGCATCCATCCTCGGACATTTATGGCACACAGGCAACTTTGGAGATAAGGGCTTGTAAAACTGCTTTGATTGATCAGTTGATAGCACGAAAGACACTAAAACGCGGGGAAGCAGGCAGAGATTGTTTGGGTACACTTAGAGCACCGGGTAGTGTCTTTAAAGCAAACTACAGCTACTTCTGCTCCTACATGTGTGTGTATTATTGGCTATATCTTCAAAAAAAATCGATTCTGTTGAATTATTGCAGCACACACCAAAAGAAAGAAAATAAAAACGACCAACCAAGAGCTCTCAGTTTAGGGGTTATTATAAGATCCAGCTGAATGATTAAATGCTCAGGGGGTGTTTAATGCTCTTTTCTCAAGTAGGCTAGTACTTTATTTTTTTATGACATTTATGGTACATTGTATATTTATTACATTCTCCAGCGTCTCCAAGGAGTTTCATACTGTATTTCATACTGTATATATGTGTAATAACCCTATAACACATAGTGTACATAGTCTTCATGCCTGTGTTAATTTAAAATTATTCTGGATTTCTCAAATAATCAGCATTTTCACACTCTTTTTTTTTCAAATTATTTGTGCATCACTAGGACAAAGTTTGTCTTTTCCCCCTTTTCTTTTATGTGTTTATACTTTTTTCCTGAAAAATTATGAAAGCCTACAATAAAACATCTGTATTATTTCAGTACAGTACTATCTAATACAGTACCATCAATGTAAACTAGAGCACTTGGCTGCTAGTTGCGCACATAAATAAAAGAGCAAAGAAAAGGTTGTCACACAGTGCCATCATTAGCTCTGTTTGGACAGTATAGGAAAGGTCACTTACTGAGTGTGGAGAGACATATTTTCAAATTATGCGTCGTGAATGTGAAGAACAAATATTATACAAGTTGCTAAAGTTTTTATGTATTTTATGGTTAATATGCAGTGTAAATGTTTTGGTTTTTGAAATTATAGTTGCAGGTGTTCTAACTTTTTGAAACTTATTTCTACAGTAACCTGCAGACTCTAATGCTGTTTATTCTTTACACAGAAGAATACAAAGAGAATACTGAAGTTGTTTGACCAGAGTGTATGCTGCGAGTCCTCACCCCACCTTCACCCCATGACCCTGAAGTCTTGCTGTTAGATTCTGCATTTTATACTGATTGCCAGAGCCAGGCAAACACCCACATTCGTCACTGGTGTCCATAAAAACTATAAAAAAAATATTTCAATATTGCACCTAATTTTGTATGTGCAAGATAAATTATGGTACACCATGAATACTGTTGTAGTCTACTGGGGAGGGTAAGAAAATTGGCATGACAAAATAGATAATTTTGTTGTACACCAATCTGCTGAGCATATTACGCCACTTGATGCTAATTTCATGTGCGCGTTATAAATGGAAGTTTTAATCTAAGTTTTATCCACATACATCTAAGCATGCCTGCTGCATGTCTCATCCACACGAACCAGGCCCTGCACACAAATTTATAAACGCATGTCTGGTGCAATTGTGGTGCAATCAGTCTTTCAGTTCAGTGTTGAAAAGCTTCCTCGTGTGTTTCATGTGACCGGTAACCTCACACACTTCTAAAACAGCATGCATAGTGCGGAGACCGCATTGTTGTCAGGAGCGTTTCATCTGAAAAATATCAAAACTTTCTTTTCCATTTAAGTATATTTTCCTTTTTCTTTCTGGATCTGTTTCCCTGTGTGCTAACAGACAAGATATTTTAGTGTTGAATGTAGAAAGGCTATACATGAATATTAATGTGGCTCAGTGGGGATGGGGAACAGATATTTGAATCAAGCTGTGTTTATAAATACACTGTATATTGATTTTAATACTGTACTTCAGTGGCATATAAAGAATGTTTGTCCCAATAAACAGCCTGGAAACAGTTTTTGGAAACAGGTGATTATTGTCTTACTTTTGTCTGACACTTTATGACATTAATCATTAAACCTTTAACGGGCCATAGTATTAGCTTGTTGGTAGTAGCTGCTATCTTGCAGCTCAGTGGCTTTGTGATTTTTTAACATTATTCCACTTGAAATTTCAAGTTACAGCACTCTAATAAATTTTAATATCTTTGAATGTTATTACCTACCCTCAAGTGGTTTTATATGCCAAACCAGGTCGATACCACTATAGGCTTACTTTTGGTCGTCCAATGGAAACCGAATTTGAGATTTGTTCACCCTGCAGGTGAACTGCAAACTCAACTTATACACAATAAATACACGGTAAATGCTCAGTGGTTAAAATGAAGTAATTTTTAAAAAAATTGAATAAATCTAAAACATGTAGGACTTACAAGACTGGAGGGAGCTAACTGATGGGAATGTGTTTCAAGGCCTGAATCTGAATGTGTCATGTGTTATTTTTTTTTTGTTTTTTTTTTAATTATACAAGAAAGTGAATTATCCAGATTTAAACATCCAGCACATCACTTCTCCAGAAACTTTAGAAGAGAAAAAAAACAGACATTGTTATAAATTGGTTTTGGAGTGGTTAGATAGTGCAGGAAGCAAGGTTTAAAACAAAAACTACTTTCTTAAACTTTTGAGGTTACAGCGTTGCTTTGTGTCACTATGATGACAGATTGAGGAGAACAGAGAGATAGTGCAGTCAAGATTAATAGAGGTCTAAGCCTTCTGGGTTCATACCAGGATAAGATAAGGCAGCTTTTTGTTTATACATTAGTAACCTTTCACTTTCCAAAGTAATCCAAGTTAAAAGTATAACAATCATATAACATTAAAATCAACACATTGTCTTAAGTTACGTAGGGAAATCGTACTGAGTTACACAATCAACTGTCACTTCTGCTTCTCTTCCTTAAACCATGACCCAAAG